TACAGGCCTGATTTTTTTCAGGTCTGATTTTCGCTATTGCTTAAATAGCGCTATCTACTGCGAGGATTGTGCATCATACGTAAAGTTGAAATGGTAAATTGGCCACCGTAACGATTACAAAAGCTGATGTTTCGAGTGTTAGCCCTTCGTCGGAGCAAAGGTATTGGTTGACCAAAGATATTAAAACCACTCTAACACAATTAAAAAACTTACCAAATTAAATATATTTGCATAATTTTGTTCACACAATCAGAGAATATTGCATGATTTATTTTTGTGGCACTTTTATGAAAAATTGATGATTCATCTTCTCTAATAGCTATCGCTTTTGTCTGACCCAAGCCTGTGTATGTACCGTGTATACAAATACCAGTTTTCATCTAGAATTCCATGTAAAAAAAGTGCTCTAATGACAACAAAATGGTGCATTAAACTACTTTTGACAAAATACAAGTTAGGGTAATACATTATTAAGGAGTCAAGAGAAGTCAACCAAATGGTAAATATGATTTTAAAAAAGGATAAAAAAAGAATACAGTTGTTCTGTACCATAATATGCATTCTGAATAAATGTATTTGTCATGCTGTAAAATGATTTCAAGCTTGTGTGAGTTTTTTCTTTTGTCACTTAAAGGTGAATATAAATGTTATGTCTATTGTGTTATTTGTGCATAGCTTCACTTTTGAAGGGTACCATGTTGGTGCATGTGCTATTGAGGAATTTGGCTGCACATGACTATTAGAAATATATCTTGTCTTGTGGAATATTAATGTTTTGTGTTAATTATCCTTTTTTTTTTGAGACAGTTTTGTTGAGTGCAAAGTTTGTGCCTAAGATGAGGCTTTTTGGATGTACTTGTTTAGCAAGTCTGCCAAGGCTCTCGGATAATTTCTATGTTCAACTCATGTTATTGCAGTGCACTTAGTAGTCTGAGAATTAAATAATGAGGAAGTCTTTACAATTAAAAATATTTGAAACAAAGAAAATACAAAGAGATTTTAATAGATCATCAAGGGAAGAGTTTGTGACAAAAGACAAACCTATCAGTAGGAGGTGTTATTTTGATGTAAAATCCAATTCTCCTAACTTATTTGTATGACAATCTATAGAAACTAAAAGGGAGAAATGCAAAAAAGATGTTAAGAGTTCAAGAGATGCCACTGAATCTAATTCTGATCGTACCATACTATGAGAAAACTTATTTCTACTTTTCAAGTGGAGATTCAATAATGAAAGTTTTGGTAGAGAGTGAATTACCATGGTTAATAAATTAAACATGAAAAATGTTCTAGGAATGAACTTCTAAAATCCAACTGAAAGTTAGCACAAACAAACAAATCAGATCAATAAAAATTTTAAAAATAAGTTAAACTAGTTCTGCAGATATTGCGGCTATTGGAATAGTATAGATAACTTTATGTTTTGTGGACTGTATTGTTGTAAGTTTCTTTTTTAGACTTTGTGAATGTGTGTGTGACCTAGCTTTTGACAACTAAGTTTTCCGGGAGCAGATGTTTTTCAAGACAACTTTCATTTGATAAATTTTTTAAATGTGTTTGAATCAAAAACTTCTTTTTTTATTCTCCAGATAAAGATTTCCCTCTCTCAATATATTTCAGTAAAAGAAAGAAAGTTTGTACTGTTTGATATTCATTTGTTTTTATAAATGGACCAAGGACACATCTCTCTCTGGCCGAGTTTCTCTATGAGATTTTGAATAAATTAACTTTTTTAGCTTTGATATGCAAATTTAAAAAGTTCTATTTGGATGCTTATCTTAACTCAATGTTTATGTCTTTTTCTCATGCTTCAAGAATTTTCAACAATAGCAATTTTTAAGAATTGTGTGGATTCTATTTAAGTTGGTTAAAGTTAGTGGAACACATCTGTTTTGAAGGTGGAGCAAGTGAAACACAACAAAATTCTTGACAGAATTTGTGTTATTATGGTTTGGTACTTTTGTTAAAGCTGTGAAGAAACTTTGTATTTTTAACATGAAAGAGTCATTTACAACTCTCTATGAGCTTGACAAACATGATAGCACAGTTTCTCTAAAGAGGTTTGGTCGAAACTCAGTAAGTGGATTTGCAAATACTGTAAGTTTATACTGAATTATTCTTAGCCAAAGTCAAGACATGAATTTAAAATGTCGAGATGATTTGCAAATTTTCAATAATTTAAAAACTTGTGTGAAAAGTTTAAGCACAAACAATGATGTTCAATTTTGCATTTGTGAATTCATAGATCAGAAACTTTTCTCAGTTTTAAGTACAGAGAAGTAACCAGCACAATGACATCAAAGATCACTTAGTGATTTGAGGATATACATCATGATGATTAATCTTTGAGTACTTTTTTTGGCTTTTAGCTTTCACAATTCTTCCTTTAGAGTTTTTTAGAGTGTGTTATTTATTTAATTCACAAAGTGTCATATTTTTTTTCTGACAGATTTTGATGACAGAGGCTTTTTAAAGAATTGATTTTTTTTAATTACACTAGATAATAGTGAGATAGCTAACAGTTGTCACTTTAGAGAATGAATTGCTAGCGAAGTCATTACCCATGGGTCCAATTCTCACAATCCCTTCCGACTAATGTATTTTAAAATAATTCAACACCTTAAACTTTGAAGATATGATAAGATATGAGTAGTGATTCTCCCCTCTCTTCTGCCATACATTTCCTTGTAAATTAGATGGGAGAATTTGGTATTTTATCAAGTTAACACCCCCTCAAATTGCTAAGATTTTTAGTTCTTGTCATTCATTTGAATAATAATGTATTGGAGTTGTAATGAGTAGCAAGTTAGAGTGCTGCAAAAAACTGTTTGGATGGTGTGAGACCATGAAACAAGACATTTGTAGGAATATTTCCTGCATTAAAACCAAAAGCAACTTCTTGTATCACTACATGCTGCTTTCTTGACATTTCCTCTCTTTTTACATTTTTGTAGAAAAGCAAGAAGTCATGGATTGCTAAACATTTTAAAGGTCGAGAGTGCATCAAAATTGTGAAAGATGCAAAGAAGACTCGCTCAGAAGAGTACGTACTTTAGTAGAATATTCCTTTTTTTTACCTTTGTTGTTTGTAAGATGTCAAGGCCCGTTTGCATTATTCCACCCTGAATAGTTTCAAGGTGGAATGATTTAAAATCCAGTTGTATTTAAAATCCAACTTTCGTAAATATTTTATCTCCAAATATGTCGAGGAAGAGAGGAATGTCTGCTGGTTTACTGGTGTTTGCCATTTAGAGAGAAGAGTAAAACAGTTCTGAATGAAACAGAATTTAATTCACATTGTAAGATAATATATCTTTTTGTTATTGTTGTTGTTAGGAATCCTATGTGTATGTGTGGTAGAACTAGGCAGCAACACGATCTAAATGTGACCAGAGAATACAATGGTAATCAATGGACCCCAGAAAGCTGCACACGGCAAATGCCCACTGATGCATACGGAGAGATCGACTTCGTTGGGACAGGCAGTCAGAATAAACGTTCTCCAGTAAGTCATTACAGACCTGGTTGGGGGGGGGGGGCATTTGTAACAACTAATTTTTATTAGGGAGGAAGGGTACAACAGTGTTACCATTATGTTCCATGTTCCATCAGTAAGTCACACTGTGTAATATATATTTCCTTTCTGTCATATGGGAGGGGGGACCTGCATCATCCAGTGTTTTTGAGGAAAGTGTGTATTACCAGCAAGTTGATGGAAAAAGCTATCCTATAGATATGGAAACCTCCATTGAATATTCCAGAAGACCTCCCTCTCTGTGTAAACTTACATTACGGGTAGTGGGAGACTTTCTCCTTTTTCCTTTGCTGAAGTACAAGAACCTAATCACGAGTCTCTAATTTTTTTTCCCAAAGTACGTCCGCGTGTCACATGACACTGATGTTCAGCTCATCCTAAAGTTGATGCTTGAGAGATGGGATCTTGAAATCCCCAATCTGGTTATTTCTGTGACGGGGGGTGCCAAGAGTTTCGTTCTCAAACCCAGGTTAAAAGAAGTGTTCAGAAGAGGTCTGATCAAAGCAGCGAAGTCGACGAGTGCTTGGATTATAACAGGTTTGTGCCTTTTTTAGTACATTGTTACTGTGTGTATTGTCCAGACAGAGCTTTGACAGAGTAAAACGAAGAGAATCACACAAGCCAATCAGAGCGAAGAACAATGTCACAAGGAACCAGTGAGAACTCAAAGAAACCTAAAGAGCAGGAAAACTTCTGTGATTTAGTTTTGTTTGCATCTGATTGGTTGAAAGGTTGGCGCGTGTTCTCTAAATCAATCAGGAAGCGTGGTGAAGTGAAACCACTGCATTCCCAAGTTAGTTCCGCGCTCAAGGTCGTGTACTTGTGTTAACGTTCTGATCTGTCGCTGTCGGTACTTCGGTGATACAATCGAAAAACATTTCTTCTGATATTGTGAGATTTAAGGCGATTTACCTTTTTTTCCAAAGGTGGAACCAATGCTGGTGTTATGAAGCATGTGGGTGAAGCCGTGAAGGAACAAGAAATCACATTTGGTAGCGAGGACAAAGTTAATGTTATTGGCATCGCTACTTGGGGCATTGTGGACAGAAAAGATTCTTTAAAAGCGTCTAAGGTGAGCACAATTACTTTCAAAGGTCGCAAGTCTCTGATTATGATAGAACTAAAAGTAAAGAGAGTTTATTTTGAAGAATATATAATAACTACAAGCGTATAACGCGCGAAATTTTCTTTCGAAACTCGCGCCGTTCATTTCCCACCAAAACTTACACAGTTCATTTCCCGCCAAAACTGTCGTTGCACATATAGTGGAGACGTTGACACTTGTATCGCCTAAGGTTCTATTTCCCGCCGACCAACTGCTGCTATACGGAACGACGCTCCTATGTTGTTTACTCAGTGTACACGAGCTTTGCTCTCCCTTACACCAATCAACGTGGAACGTAGATTTATAATACTAAGCGACGAGCCAACGTAATGGAATTTTAAACCTTTGAAATTGTGTATTTTCTCAGACAACTTTCAAGGAAATGTCTCGGAAATAGTCCTGACACTTTTGATGCTTTATCTCCTAGTGTATTCTTTCCCTTTGCAAATTCTAACCCGTCGGAATCTGGAACCCTTCCAATATCTCGAATCGAAAACCACGCTTAGCGTGAACCTTACCTCTGGTCTTCAGAAAGTTCCGTCTAGTACTATTCGGAATGAAGCTATCAGAGATTATAACCATTTTCTTCTTCTTTTTATGTAGGGCACAAATGGACTATATCCGGCCCACTACCGAATGGAACAGGTCCCAGGCTCCAGTGGGGCTTTGCTTGATTCAAATCACTCGCACTTCCTGTTGGTGGATAATGGGACAGAAGGAAAGTACGGTGTGGAAATTAATCTGCGCTCTAGATTTGAGGAAGCTGTAATGAAGGTCAAAACAGACTCCAGGTCTGCTGCAGGTTGGTTCAAATTTCGACCACGCTGAAATTAAGATCAGTTTGAGTGTGGCTGCGTAGGTTTTATGTTGCCTTATTCTGCAATTGACTTGAAAACCTCGTGCCACCTTCTTGATCAATCAAATGGAGGCATTCTTGACTTTGCCACCCGCGTTTTCCCGCGCTTGGCGCCTTGGCCTGTCATGCTTATACGCAGTGTTTCTTATGCTTGTTGTGATTGGTTGAAATACTTTTCTTTGGTTTTCCTGGTAGATTCCAGGCATACGGGCTTGAATACGTGAAACGGAATACTTTTTTGGATAAAAAATTGCATTTGTTGCACCATGGAGATTCTCACAGCATAGCTCATATGAATATCTATAGAACGCTGAATAGAGAATATCAAAAAGTGAAAGAAGTTGGTTTTTGTAAGGAAAAAAACATTTACATGTTAGGAGTGAATGAAGAAAAAATTCAGGTAAAAAAAAACACAAAAGTTACATTCACTATTGACACAAAGACAAATACAGTCTGAAAATGGCGTCTGAATTTCACCATGTTTACAATGATAAAAATCTATTGTCAATTATTTGCAAGGTGCCATTGGTGTCCCTGTGGTCTTGTTAGTTCTGGAAGGTGGACCAAACACTGTTCGTACAATGTGCGAGTTGATCAAGAAGAAAATCCCAGCTGTTGTGATTGATGGAAGTGGTCGTGCAGCAGATGTGGTGGCGTATGCGTACAGTCACACCATTAAAAGGTGAGAACTTATAACCCGCAATTTTGGCTCAATTCTTTGGTTTGTGATCCAAATAGAGTATTCAGGTCAATGTTTTCGTCATGATCAGTCGAACTTTTTCCCGCGCATGGTACCAGTGACAAGTTTTCCCGCCCTTGGCGCCGGATGCGTGATTTCCCGCGCATATTATTGGTTGTTTCTTTTACGTGTCTGTGGGTAATGCAATTTTCCCCCGTATGTCTGTAACATGTTTTCCTGAGTTGGTGTCTGTTGCGTAATATCCAGTGCTAAAAATAGGTTTTTGTGATTTTACGCGTTTGGACTGATCTCATTTTCTTGCGTAAGGCAGTAGTGACTTGTTTTCTCGTGCTTAGTCCGGTTGCGGTAATTTCCCACGTTTTATATGAGTTTTGTGTTTTTACGCGATTGGACCGAACTCAATTTGTCCTCTTATGGCAGCCGTAACATGTTTCTCGCGCTCGAAGCTGTTTGCATGATTCCACTTCTGCTTTTTTTTTTGTTTTGTTTGGATTGCCACTATTGAGACCATCTTCCACGCGGTTTTTCATTTCTTTATATATCTTCAGTGAAGAGAAATTTATCATCGATCCCCTGTATGAAAACAAGATACGAGCTAAGGTGGCGGAAGTGTTTCCATTTATGAAGGAACAAGAAGTCAAAGAACATTACAAGATGATTGAAGAAGTACTTGAAGACGATAAGATGGTATGTTCTCTGTCTTTGTTTCCTTTTTTTTTGGCATCTAATGTTGCAGTCTTTTTCACATTCTTCAGGCGGAATCATTGAAAATGGTAAAATTATTCCTTTTCAGTTTCTGTTCCTGTTTCTTTTTCTTCAATCAAGAGTATTTATCGGAGATGACAACAACTGAAGAAATGTTAGTTTTTGTGATTAGAAACTAACGTACTTATGAAATATCTTCCAATAGTGAGGTTGAAATTCCTGCCATTTTTCGCGCTTTGTTAAGTTTTTACTTCACATCTTATACTGAACTCTTTCTCTTGGAAACTAACTCAGCGAGGAAACTTTAGTACTGTTTTAAAAATGAAATGATTCTCTGGTCTTTGACAAGAGGTTCCATTGTTGCACGGTAAATTATTTGTTTTTTTTCTAGATCTCTATTTACCGACTGGATCACGAGACCAACATATCTCAAGACATTGATCTTGCAATTTTAAAAGCCCTCTTAAAAGGTATGGTAATAGTGTAGTTTTCCATTTAGGTCTTGGTTCCCTGTTTTAGATTTCTCGACCTTTTTGAAAGTTGTCTTTTCAATCTTTTTATTATTATTATTTATAAAGGTGGATCATAAAACATGACAGGCAGCCAAGCTCTAGACAAAGAGAAAGGTTGGATAGATCAGTTAGTGTTAGTTATAGGGAGAAGAAACAGAGATTTACATAGAGAGAAAAATGCGTCACTTATATGACTGATTTAAAGCGTGATTGTGTGACACTTTAAAAGAGATTAATTGTGTGTCGATGTGAAATATCTAGGGCTGTTGTAAAGGGAGCGGTTTGAACAGGATGGCTCAATAGTCTAAAGCCGCTTCGAGCCTGGTTGAAGATGCACTGGCTTAATAGTCAGCGCGCTGGACCCCGGGTCGGGAGGTCTGGGTCCGAGCCCTGGCTGCGTCGTTATGTAGTGTTGGATAACGCACTTTACTGTGTTGTAGAAACCAGAAGATTGTTTTTTGTGTTATAAAATTTGCGCCGGGCTGTCCGAGAGAACCAGTTAAACCTCTTAACATCGATGTTATTCTCGTATCTCTGTTAGCCAACAGTTCCGCTCCTTTGATGCAGCTAAATTTAGCTCTGGCCTGGAATCGGATTGATGTTGCCAAAAGTGAGATTTTCACCGATGACAAACGTTGGACGGTAAGTTTTATGTTTTCACAAGTAATTCGCCTTCTCTTCTCTTCTCTTCTCTTTTCTCTTCTCTTCTCTTCTCTTCTCTTCTCTCGCGAATGAATACATGTAAAGGTTGACAAACTTCCAACAAACTTTGGAGAAGGTGTAATATTCCATTTTTTTTTTTTTGCGTTTTTCAGGCGAGTGGAGGCTTGTGTAAAGCGAGATTAAGGGGCGCGCGAATTAAACACGAAATGGAGGGTGCCAAAAAAAGCGAAATAACGCGCCTTTTTTCTTGCGCTCGTCCTTTCGTATGTGACCAGGACTTTGCACTCACCTCGCACTTGCCTTCAAGTTCGCTCTCGCTCGCCTGAATACGCCAAAATGCAATGGCTGTTGTGCACGCTTAGTTCCCAGCTACTGATTGGCTAGGCTACTCATCTTCGGGGATGTAAGGTTTTTTGCAGCCATCCTTACCCAATCGCCAACCGCCCTCATACGGGAAATTTTCGTCTAATGTTTTGCAATGAAAACATTCACAGGCCGCTTGAATTATAAGAAAATTATTGCTTTTGCTCTGTTTCTGTAGACGGAGGGACTGACCGATCCTATGCTGGCCGCTTTGCTCGATGATAAGCCGGGATTTGTAGAACTGTTCCTGCAGAATGGCCTCAGTATGATGGAATTCCTTACACCGCAGATATTATGTCAGTTGTATGCTGGGGTGAGTAAGTGGAGATTGCCTCATGACGACTTTGACTTCGAGTACGATATTTGGATTTGAGTTTTAAGCGAAATTAAACACCTTAAAAATGTATTTATTTTTCTTGCATGTTTTCGAAATCCCTCGTTTGCTGATGTCGAACTTGAATTCTCTTTTAATTTACAGGTCCCAAGCAACAGCGTCATAAAGCCTCTGGTTCAAAAAGAAATGGTGTGTACGATCCCCCCCAATTATGAAAAGTTATGTTGTAGCCAGTCCTCGATATATATTTTCCAATTTACTGCTTAGAGTTGCACGTTTCGTGCACTTTTGATCGGTAACATTTTTACCCGCTTTAAGTAATTTCTAGGAAAGCATTTAAAAGACATACCTCTTTTTGAAAACTCTGTCTCAAAAACTTTGTTAGATAGACACTCCATCTGAATGGCACCTGGTAGTCCCTTTCTACACTTGCATCCATCGATATAATATCGACGTGTTTTCCCAGCACGTCCTGTTTTTTTTTGCGCTCGTCATCGATCTCATGATTTCCTGTGCTGACCGCGGTTGCATGTTTTCCCGCGCTTTCTAGAAGTGGCGAATTTATTTTTCAGAGAGTGTGAGAGAGATGAAAAAGAAGCCTAACCGATTTTTTTTTTTCAGAATAAAAAGAGTATTACAGCCTTAAACCTGAGTGTTGTTGGCGAGGTGATAGAAAACTTGATGGGCGATTCTTATCATTGCCTTTACCTTCGGGACCCACGTTATATGACTTCACTTCATGAAGAAAGGGGGAAAAGTCACAAAATCAGCCAGCCAGCTATTGTGTGTAAGTTAAACATGTCAGAACTAAGCTCTCTATCAATTTTGTAGTTATCATCTCAAGAATCAATATCGTAGTTATTATTTTTGTCTATTATTATGAGTTATAGTCTTGTCATTCGCTAATATCATTTTTAGTTGAAGAAACTTGATTTGTAAAATAAATGGGTTACCTCGCACGCTTTTATTCATTTAAAAAAAGTATGGTTTGTTTTTCAACGAGTCTCCTTCGCTGTTGTCACGTAACGCAAAGGTGTTACTACTGAAACAGGTAGACTTTTTTTCAGGAGACGTGCGTAACAGTTGCCGTTAGCGACAAAGGTGATCGTTTTTGGTCACATGACTAAAAAGATGTTAGCTTAAAAGGCAAACGCACGTGATTGCACTCCTTCGCATTTCTTTGCCCGCGCTTTTGCTGCCTGTCGTCGTTTATCCGCTTTTGTTTAGTAATACATCATGATCCAGCTAAAAGTGTTCTATAATATTTCTTTTCAGCTAAAATCGAATCGATTATCACACATCTTAGGCTATAGTCTACTCTTTTATCACGGATATAAGACCTTTCTGTTTTGTTTATAGAAAAGCCCACCATCGTTTGATTCTCAGCAATGTGAAGGAATGCGATCACGTGGGCCTACGTTTTAGACGTCAGGGATAGATCACGTGGGCTAATTCAAATATGTTTCGCTCTAGCGGCAACTGTTTCGCGCGTATCCGAAAAAACAGTCTACCTGTTTCGGTAGTATGTGTAGTGTCCAAATAACTGCGCGACTTTGATAAGATGCGACATATTTTTTTTGTTTTTTGTTTTTTTGCTTTTTTTCTTCCAGGCAATCCTCTTCACAGAATCGACCCACTGAGGACACCGTATCGTGACGTATTTATCTGGGCGGTGCTTAGTAACCGCAAAGATATGGCTAAGCTCATGTGGAGCATGGGCCGAGAACAGATCGCAACCGCGCTCATGGCAACGCGTCTTCTGAAATCCATGGCGGAAAAGGCGCGTGCTGATGATACCATCACTGACATCAGCGCAGAGCTGCTGGAGGTTGCGAAGTGAGTATTGTACTCTTTGCATGTCTTGCACTCTTAACCAGAGTGGCTTACAACAAATTTCTCTTAACAGTATCACCAACGAATGAAGCGTTTGATTTTTAAACAAATTCTCTTCGTCAGTACCATATGGAATGTGTAGAAAACAGAATAGAGAATATGCGTACTGACATAAGGTTGTATTATGCTGGGAAATTGTCTGATACGTGACAAACTATTGTGTGACAAAAAGACAGTTTTCAGACACAAATGGTCGAGATTTGTCGATAATTTTTACCGTCTTGACAGTCTTTGCGAAGGCTTTGAAATTGTTCATTCTCTTTTTGTGAATATCAACTTTTTTTCAAGCATTTTTGATGTTCTGAGCACCACTGTTTACTCTCTTGCAGTGATTTTGAACAACACGCCATAGGCGTACTTCAAGAATGTTACGAAGAGAACGAAACTCTCTCCCAGACCCTGCTGGTTAAAGAACTGGATAATTTTGGTAATCTGACAGCGCTTGATCTGGCTGTCATTGCCGAAGATCAGAATTTCATTGCACATACAAGCTGTCAAGTGCTACTCACCCGACTCTGGATGGGAGCGATGGCCATGAACACTAAGTGGTGGAAGGTAGGGGGAAGGGGTAGAATAAGTTTAGACGCGCATAAACAATAGGAGGACTGTAAAGCTTTGGAAACTTATTTTCATTTATATATATTTTTGATTGATTGATTTACTTTTTTATCATTAGTTTTTGTAACCCTTTGTTGACGTTGATCTGTTTTGTTCCTCAGATCATTCTTTGAACGTTCTGTCCGTTCCTGATTTTCCCGCTGATTTACTTTGTCCCGGATGAGCAGCACGAAAGGGAGGCCGCAGCTCGTCTGTCGCAGAAGGGATTGTACACCAAGAGTATGAAGAATGTGAGGAGATCCAGTATAACAGAAGAAACAGTCGAGCTACAAAAGGTTGAAACTGTCAGAAACGGAAATCCCAAAATCAACATCGACGAAGAATCTAAAGTAGGAGAAGGGGAAGATACAGGGGAAGACATTGTTCAAGAGATAGTGGAATATATTCCAGGTAAAGAACCTTTGAATATTGATTCTCCTTAGAAATCTCTGTACGAATCTTTTGATTCCATTGTGAGAATTGAGAACTTTATCAAGGATCTCGTCTATTTATTCTTCCGTGAAGAGCATTGAAAAGGACGTCCTCAGTTATTCGATAGAATGCAAGTGATATTTTCTCATCTCATTTTAACATTGATTTTTTTTTTTTTCAGAGCTTCAAGAAGATCATTCTATGGAACATATGATGCGATCGAAAGACATGACTGTTTATGACAGAATCACATCTTTCTATTCTGCACCGTTCACCAAGTTTATGGGGAATTTGGTAAGTTTTTACGCATCGCTCTTTAACATATCCCAGCTTTGAAAGTTATTCATCCATCTGATGTTACATTTGCAGGTGTCTTACGTAGCCTTCATATTCCTCTATGGTTACGTCATCACTATGTACTTCCCGCCTTTTGACTCGTCCAAGACTTTCGGGGGATTAAGTGTGGTGGAATTCATTCTTTACTTCTGGATCTTTACTATCATAATGGAAGAAATTAGACAGGTGGGTGACATGATAAGTGGTATCACGTGATCATGACAAGAATTATGTCACGTGGTCAAGTCACACACTGAAGTCACATGATAGGCTAGCGTGGTGTTTAATCGATGGTATCACGTGAAGAGATGAGATGGCCGAATGTTTAGTTTGCTGTACTTCGGTCAAAGTCTTATTGTGTTCTTAGGTATTTCACCTTTTCGTTCGCAATGCCTTTCTCTACTCAGGAGTGTATATGGGTACCAGCAAACTGACAGGTCGACCTGTGGCTCACTACTGCCGGAGTTTCTCAAGAAAACTTGACGAATGTCTTGTTGGGCT